GAAGAAGAGGGAGAGGGAGAAGCCATTTAGATACTGAGATCTCTGAAGTACACACACCAAAGGTGATCTAGCAGGACGCGGCTTGGGGCTGAAGTGCATCACACAGGTGGTCAGGGACAAAAAGTCCTGTCTAAGGAGGAGGTATTTCAATCAAGACCCGAATGACAAGTCACAGGAATATCGGCAGAGCATTCCAGGCAGAGGGACCCACGTACAACCAATCTGGTTTGGGAATAAGTTCCATGTGTCCAGGAAGGCAGAGGCCATGGCATCGGCAGTAGCAGTGGTGGCACTGGCAGGGAGTGGTGGTGGCTGTGTGTGTGTGGGGGGGGGGCGGGGAGAGGGGGCAAAGAAGTTCCTTGAGGAGGTGGGAAGACGCATCTTTCCTTTTTCATTGTTTTATAAACCTTGTCCGTGCTCCATACATTCATGGACTCTCCTCCCCAGGAAATGTGTGTGTGTCAAATAGCATGAGATTCCCAAAGGAAAGAATTAAACATCCAAAGAAGGTAGAAAATTAATTGCAAAAAAGGACATTACACTTACCATAGGAAATAGCACATATTCTCTGAGGAAATCTTGAGAATCAAACTGGTTATAGTCTCCAAAATCAGCTGAAAAGAAGAGAAGGGGAGGGGGGAATAATTTCACTTTTAATATGAAATGAAAGATGGAAGAAAACAGGGTGCACATATCACCACATTTATTCTTCCCGCATCATCCTATTTTTGCACAATTATGAAAAAAAAACAAAAACAAAACGGTGCTGAGATGTGCTTGATACTGTTGCTACGTTTACCTAGCAATACTGGGAATGCCAGCGTGTGAGCACTGCTAGGCGATTTTCTAGAAAGAATGGGAAAATTTGAAAGTGGTTCTTAAGCTATTTTAAAACTTACACCCAAACCTATATTTATCTTCTAGTTAAATATGCATCAACACAGCCCGTCAGAATATGTGCCAAGGGGACTTTCTAACGCAGGGTTCGTTTGGGCAACTGAAGAGCCAAGCCCATCTCTAGCTCCTCATACACATTTGCAGCTGGAAATTCCCACCGTAAACCACCCTTGGCAAGCACCCTTGCAAATCCTGATGCCTCCCACTAAACATCTTCACAGGCTGCAAGATGCCAAAAATTCTGTTTTGTTCTGTTTTCATCTCACGGTGCTATGTCTGAGCCCATGCAAAAGGCACACAGAGAGCCTGTATCACAGATCTATAAACCTCTCGCTTCTAGTCCCACTTATTCTCCCCCCAAAAAACCAAACCAGAATGAAAGCAGCATGAAGTTTTCTTTCATGTAAAAGATTTAGCATCAGGTACTAATGGATGCAGGTAACTTCAAGGTAACAAGAGACCGAGAACGCCAGGATCCACACAGAAGGTCAGGGGAGAAGCACTGCCCAGAAGGGGTGGGTGGGTGGGCAGAGCTCACAAAACTTGCAAGCATGTCTACATAACCCATGGACACAGACAATAGTGTGGCGAGGGCCTGGGGCGAGGGGGCAGCGGTGGCTAGAAGGGGTCAATGAGGGGAAAAGAGGGGCCTATGTAATACTTTCAACAACAAACATGTTTTAATAAAAATTAGAATCCTGCCCTGGCCGGTTTGGCTCAGTGGATAGAGCGTCGGCCTGTGGACTGAAGGGTCCCAGGTTCGATTCCGGTCAAGGGCATGTGCCTTGGTTGTGGGCACATCCCCAGTGGGGAGTGTGCAGGAGGCAGCTGATCGATGTTTCTCTCTCATCGATGTTTCTGGCTCTCTATCCCTCTCCCTTCCTCTCTGTAGAAAATCAATAAAATATATATTTAAAATAAAATTATAATCCTATGATTCTAAATTTAAAAAAAGAATAAATCTATAAGTCTCTTGCTTCTAATTCCACTTACTCTCCAAAAAAAAATAATAATAATCAAAGCAGCATGAAATGTAATTTCACGTAAAAGATTTAGCATCAGGTAGAAGTGGAGTAGGTCACTGTAAGGTAACAAGAGACAGAGAAGGCCAGCGGAGAGGCACTGCCCAGAAGGGGCGGGTGAGTGGGAAGATCAACCACAGAACTTGCAAGCATATGGGCATAACCCATGGACACAGACAGTGTGGTGAAGGCCTGGGGTAGGGGCAGGCTAGAAGGGGCCAATGGGGGGAAAGGAGGGCACAGAGAAGCACTGCCCAGACACGTAACTGATTACAACCACGGGAGGCCTCCAGGAAGAGCAAAGACCACGTGCTCTGCCTGTGTTCACGTTTGGCCATCAGTGATCGTATTTCATGCTGACGTATCTCTACCGATGTGTCTTTCTAACTGCCCAGCAAGCTCTCAGGAAAGTGATTTACAAGCATTACACCCAGGGCAGCTTTCATCAGAAGGAAGAGGAGCCGAGGAGAAGGTTCACCAACTTCCTTCAGCCTAAAAGCTATCACCGGGGCCTTCACAAACCCAGGATGCCCGCAATGAGCCCAGTGACTGAAGGGAGAGAGGAGGGGCCCTAGCTGGTTTGGCTCAGTGGATAGAGCATCAGCCCATGGATTGAAGGGTCTTGGGTTTGGTTCCAGTCAAGGGCACATACCTCAGTTGCAGACTTGACGCCCGGCCTTGGTTGGGGCATGTGTGGGAGGTAGCCAATCAATGTGTTTCTCTCACATCAATGTTTCTCTCTCTCTGTCTCTCCCCCTCCCTTCCACCCTCTCTAAAAAAATCAATGGAAACATATCCTCAGGTGAGGATTAACAACAACATTAAAGAGTAAGAGAGGTGAAAAGAAAGGGGAGAAAATTAACAGAAAGGAAAGCTTTTTAAAAGGAGAAAGAACAAATGCGAAGATGAGGCACATACTGGACCTTCTCTCTCTTCTCCCGGTGAAGGGTGTCTTTTTCCATTATTTCGTGATTTCCTGTTATAGCCACTGATTGTTCTGTTACACTGTTCTGGGCACTGTTCCTTCCTTTTCCGGTCTTTAAGTGGAGAGATGGGATACAGCATGTCCTCTGTCCTTCCATCCACAGGGTAACAATTGTACAGCCAACAGACACCACTAACCTGCTACCACCCCACAGGAAAGAGGTCAAGGGAAGGCTGCCTCTGTAGACATTTCAGAGCCCAAAAGATTCAACTGCAGTTCAGAGGTTGGGATGGGAAGTCCCGTTCACAGCTTCTAAAATAACAGCCCACACCACAAGGACGGGCAGGCTTACATTTGGACGTTAAATGATTTTAAAGTTAATGACTGAAAGGAAAACACGTTTCTCTCCAAATATTGTATCTTTATCTTGTGGTGGTTGTTTTTTTAATCCTCCCCTGAGGATATTTTTCCTTGATTTTTAGAGAGGGTGGAAGAGAGAGGAAGAGACAGAAATCTCGATTGATGTGGGAGAAACACATGGATTGGTTGCCTCCTGCACACACCCCAACCAGGGCCCAGGCCGGGAGGAGTCTGCAACCGAGGTACATGCCCTTGACCAGAATCGAACCCGGGACCTTTCAGTCCGCAGCCCAACACTCTATCCAATGAGCCAAACTGGCTAGGGCTGTATCTTGTGTTTAATATGACTCAAGATAATTAAGCTATTACTCAGTAATGAGTAGAAATACATGTAAAAAAAATTATGTAACATCTGTTATATAAACATATGTAAAAAATATATGTAACAACTTAGAGATGATAAAAAAAAATAGCTCTCTGATAAATTTAAGTGGGACAGGTCGAAAGATACATTTAGTCCCATACACGTTTGCAGTTTCATATTACAGCTGTGCATTTTCAATGTCTCTCTTTACCTGTAAAGGAATACATTAGACTATGCCGTTTAAAGCTCTCACACTTGAAACGGATGTGGAAGTCACACAGCCATCGCATTGAGCCACAAAATATGACCGCATTGGGCAGTGGAAATGATTCTGAGAAAATGTTCCACAAACCCTGAAATGCAGCTTTAATTAAAGGCAGGATGAAAGCTGCTATTCTTCCATAAAAACACTGAGATTATACAAGCAGTAGCCATTTGCCTACAGCCCTGAGAGAGCCACCATCCTGCCACAAAAATCACTCACTCCGCATCTTTAACTTACTCTCGAAATGAAAAGGGAGCATTCCTAAGGGATCGTAAATTTCACTTTTCCCTCCCAGGGGCCGGCGACATCATAGCCAAACAGGCCGTGGGGTTTCACACGCCGGTCGGCACCGTCTCTTACCTTGCACAGCTAAGCCGGCCAGCCGGATCACCTGTTCCAGCGTGCACCGCAATCGCCCCTCCAGCACGTCTTTTTTGACTTGCAGGTAATACTGATACCTGGTTCATGGGAACAGAGAAACAAATCACCTTAAAAAACACACACACTTGGAATATATTCCCGTAACATCGGTGCCTCTAGATATCAAACCCTGTGTTCCCAGCAAGATACGCAGGTGATGCTAGCAGAGGTCAGCACTCTGAAAGATGGGAAGTGACCCCTGCCTGTGTATCTTTGTTTGATGTGGCAGGTGCCACACCCCGTTCATTCTGAGGCCGAGAGCCTTCTCATCAAACCAGCCCACTGTGGGCCAGCAGCACGAACCACTGATAAGGGCCAGTTCCTCACAACAGACACCGCAAGTGAAATCTGCGCTTCCACACCTGGGCGCCCGCAGCCACACAGCTGCCAGAACACATTCCACAGCGTGCTTCCTGAAAAGGTTCTGGAAACACACGATTTGTTTGAAGTCAAAAGTTTGGGTAGGGTGGATCACAAAGAGGCCAAATATTTGGAATTCTGCGAGTGGACGGGGTAAAACTCTGGGGAGCCAGGCTCGCCCAACATGTCTGTGACTCATAAAAATCGAATCGAATGCAACACTGAGCCTCCCAACCCCAAGTACATCCTCAAAGCAGCCAACTGTAGACGGACAGAATGTGTCCGTACACAACCTCAGACCTCAGACCAGACCACTGTTCTCAGCAGCGAGTACCGGGTATTGTTTCCTCGCCAGTAAAACTGCATTCTCAGAATTACCCAAACACTCAGAAATCTCCTCACCCCAAACCTTTTTTTTTCCAGGACCCCACTTCTTTCGACCATACCCTTAAGACAGTCACATCCACAACAGCCAGTCTCCTCCAGCATTACTTCCTCGCAAACCTTTCAACCTTTCTGTTCCTGGTAACCATAACTCTTCCTCTTAACGTTGGCACAACGCAAGTCTGCAGTGACCCCAAACCCTAATGCCTTTGGAGAGAGGCAGTCCGAATTGAGAGCTAATTATCGCTGGCCCAGCTTGAAATGGATACCCTTACATCGTGACCAAATGCCTGTTGGAGGGAATAACCAGGCTGCCCGCCCACTGCAGTGTCATCTCTACTGCTTCTTTCCTCTTAGGAAAGACAGGAAAAAGACAACCATGTCTGTCTCTGGTGGGAAAAAACTATACTCAAATCAGAAGAACCACCTTTAAAAATCCTTTTTAGTCAAACTCAACACATAGCCCTGGCCGGTGTGGCTCAGTTGGTTGGGCGTTGTCCTGTGCACTGAGGGGTTGCCAGTTCCATTCCTGGCCAGGGCACGTGCCTGGGTTGCAGCTTGATCCCCAGTGGAGGGCTGGGGAAGGGGGGGATGTGCAGGATGTGTCTGATCCATATCATGCTCTCATATTGATATTTCTCTCTCTCCCTTTCTCTCTAAAAATCAATTTTAAAAGTATTTTTAAAAAATACGTAACAGAAACACAATCTATTTTTCCTATTTCCATCCTATCTCTCAGCTAAAATATTCATATCCTTTTACAGGATCCACTCTCAGAAGGACTCTTTTACATCCAGTCCACATCTAAATCCGCTCACGTATATCCCTAAGCACTTCCTGTATGTATATGTGGGCTAGAAGCCAGGGCACATCCTGGAGAGGTCTGAGACGAGGATGCGCATCATCTCCTGGCCAAGCCCCTTACCTTTCTCCTTCTAGAGCCCTATTAAGGGCTCGATTTTTAAGAACCAACAAGTAAAACATTTTAAAAGGTGCTATCCTGGCATTATCTGCCATCGCTAGAGCCTTTTTACGCTTCACCTCGGAGATGAAAATGATCGGCTGATACCACTGGGAACAGACCACCAACTAATGAACCCATAGGATCCAGCAAAACAATACATCTAGTGTTCTCATCCTGCTGACCCCAAATTCCTTCTTCAACCATCGCTTCTATAATGCACAAGCAAGTTCCGTGACAGAACCACCCCATCCCAGGCAACAGTGAATGATCGCTCCTGGTCCTGTAGGTTGGATGGAGGTTGTGGGGTACAAAGCCGAGGAGCTCAAGAGTGCAGCACCCTTTCCTGGAAGTTGCCTCGACTACAGACTACGAGAGGAGCCGGGCGGCATTCACGATACGGTGCGATTACCCCACGACCTTGGGGATATCACGACAGGAGATTGCAGAAGTGAGAATGGAATGTGGACCCCCTTGGAAACCACCTGCCACATTTTTGCTCAAAAAGGTACTTTGATCAAATATAATCATTCAGACTAAAGTAGAGAATATGAGCTGAAATTCCATTTCTAGCGAGTTTGGCTTTTGCTTGCTTTTGATCAGCAGCTCCATTCTAACGGCAGTAGAACATAAGAGCGGATCCTATTTTGGAAACATGCAATTTCATGGAAGTACACTCCACCCTGTCACAGCTCCGGGTGGAGGGGAAAAGAAAAAAAACCTGGTCCTCGTGCCAGGAAAGTCAGTATTTGCCAACTTTCCAAAGGACCCTCTTTAAAACTCAAGTTCGCAAGGAAAGCTTGTTCCTATTGAACGACCTGGAAGTCATCTGACTGCTGAGGTCCAAGCGGGGGTTTGAGGCCAGGACTCTGCCCTCCCTCTAAGAATTGGGGGACACCGTGATGGCTGTTGAATAAAGGCAACATTTCTACTTTCGAAGTTTAATGTTCTGTTCTGACTCTAAAGAGGAGATTAATTTCTGGAGGGAACGCAGGTTTCTGTGGGTGAGACAGAAAAGCCTTCGACAGCTGGTGCTGACATTACAACTGGAACTAGACGGTTTCTATGACCCAGTCTCCAAAGACCCATCTACCCAGACCATTTCTATCCAATCAAGAAATTGTCTTTTCTGTGTTCCTTCCTCCCCCTACGATTTTGAAAAGGCAATTTTTAAACTTCAGGTGAAGCCAATAGAGCATTCCGTCCACGTGACAGTGCTGTCAAAAGGCTTCCAAATTCCACTCCCTTGCATCGCCCTCAACGTTTGCAGATGTACTGCTGGGATCTGCAGTCTCTCTTTTTAATTCGCACGTAAGGAATGTAGCTAAGTACTTACACACCCTCGGTTTACTTGCAGGTCTGTTAATACTTCTCGGGCTGAGAAATTGCATGTGGTGTCCTGAAAGGTTTGGACTGTGTGAGCACCGAACCCCCAATAATACGGGAAACGGCCCTCCCACGAGCGAAATATTCTTTCCAAGTCCCGTTCAGTGGAAGTGCCTCACACAGGGAATAGGCAGGAAAATATGAAAGCCTTCAGATCTGATACTGGTCATGCTTCCAGCCAAGGACCCAACATCCTGAGCACCAATCACAGGGCAGTGGAGACAGGAGGGTGGGTGGTGATGAGTACTGTTCCAAATATTTGCTACAGCTCTCCATGGGCCTTCCCTCTGAGAGGGTCACCCCTGCCTACCTCCTTCACTCTGACTAGCTTTGGGGTCCAGGAAATGGGGGTGGGAGTGACACATGCCACTCCGGAGCCCAGCCTTCTGCGGGAGCGCGCTGCGTTTCCATCTCCATTTCCCCCGCCCGGAGACCTGCAGTGTCCAGACAGGGACTTCCGCTCGGTTAGCTTGAGCCCCGTGGAAAGAAGGCAGTGGGCACAGCACACACAGAGGTGGGTAAGGAACAAGCCTTTGTCTTTGAAAACAACAGAGGTCTGGGCATCATATATTGTCGAAGCATGAGCTGGCCTCCCTCGTTTAATAAGGGGAGGATTTCAAAAAGCCCAACCCTTTTGCTTTTAGAGATAGGAACTGTGTTGAGGGAGAATGACTTGCCCAAGGTAACACAGCCTCTAGGGCGGGGCCAGACAGACCAGAGCATGGAGCTCTTTCTCTGCAGGGCAACCGCCCCGGCGATGAGAGTGGCATCTGAATCCCAGTCATCGCAGGCAAGTCATCGGTGTCACTGAAGTCCAAAAGTAAACATGGAAATATGAACACCACCACCGCCCGGCCGGGGTGGGCTCAGCGGTTGAGCACCCACCCAGGAACCAAGAGGTCGCCGGTTCAATTCCCTGATGTTTCTATCTCTCTATCCCTCTGTCTTCCTCTCTCTCTAAAAAGCAATTTAAAAAATATATATATTAAAAATAAATAAAAGCATCACTTCCTGGTGATTTTTATGATCCAACGCTTCTAAGGAAGGACTTGAATAACCAAACTGCCCTCCCTCCCCCATCAGGTCATCTGAGCCACAGCCTTTGAGGCAAACACTGGCACGAGAAGTTGTTCTATAAAAGCCCGGTACAGGACATGTTTCATAAGCTGGCCCATGGATTACTTCACTCTCCCCTCAGAGGCAGAGGAAGGGGGAAAAGACTGAGCTTTGTATTCTAACGACGTGTTAGCAACTTTATAAGACACATAGAGGACAAAGTACAATCTAGAGAGCCGGGTCTCTGATTGGAGGCTCCTATCTAGAAAGAGAGGCTGCTCGGCCAGCATGGTTCAGTGGTTGAGCGTCCACCTGTGAACCAGGAGGTGGTTCGCTTCCTGGTCAGGGCACAGGCCCGGGTTGCAGGCTCGATCCCCAGTGGGGGGTGTGCAGAAGGCAGCCGATCAATGATTCTCTCTCATCATTGATGTTTCTATCTCTCTCTCCCTCTCCCTTCCTCTCTGAAATCAATATAAATATATTTTAAAAATAAAAGATTAAAAAAAAGGATAAGACTATTTTTATTGACTGATTGATTTTAGAGAGAGAGAAAGAAAGGGAGAGAGAGGGAGAGAGAATAAGAGAGAGAGCGAGAAGAGACAGAAACATAAATTTGTTGTTCCACTCATTCATACATTCCGTGGCTAGTTCTTATATGTACCCTGACGGGGGATCGAACCCAAAACCTTGGCATATCAGCATGATGCTCTAATCTACTGAGCTACCCAGCCAGGGCACTTAAAGGGTCAGACTTTAAATGCCTGCCCCTCACTAGAAAACTTCCTACAGTCAGCAGTATCAGGAGGCTATTGCTAGATTCCCCAAGGATAGCGCAGTATGTACCCAAACACTCGCATTGCTTTCTGGTTGATATATTGTGTGTGTGTGTGT